TTCCAGATTTGATTCGAAATGCCAGCAGTCTTGCGCACGTGAGGCCTACCAGGTCTGTCAATACGAACATCAGCAAGGAAAGGCCTACCTGGGAATGCTGCAACCCCAAGAAATGGACCCCTTGAACCAAAGACTGTTCTTCCGCGAAAAGGTTTTGCAATCCTGGATCGATGTCATGATTTTTCCAGATTTCCGGAAGCTTTTCTCTATGGAGGTTATAACTGACATTGCGGGTACCTGCAAATATGGAACTGGGCTCTTAAGCCTTGTGCGGCCCTGGATTCTTCACAACCTGAGTTCGCCGATGATCCTGCCATTGGTGGAGGCCCTAGCAGGCAACCCGGATCCCGAACTGAAGCTTGACATGCCCTTCAGGAAAAGCCCGATCTTGCTGACAATATTTGAGGCTTCAGCAGCAGCATTTTTACGCAGGCTGCCCTTGGAACTGGTCACCATCTTCAGGCCAAAGCTTCGTAAGCTGACCCTGGCTGTATGCCTGCATACTGATCCTAAGTTGATCAAGTTCCATTTATTCGAGTATTTCATCGAAAGGCTGTATTCTCAAGGGACTGCAAGTGAAGACCCCAGCGAGAAGGGATTGCCATCTGCACGCCAGGCGTTGATTGCCCTCGCAGACTGTGTCAAAAGAAAGGGCCGCATCTTCAAGAAGTTTCCCTCAGAAAGCTGTCTGTCCGAAACATTTTCTTATGAAGACGGATCCAGACAATCTCTGTTTAGTTTGGCGACTGACGAGACAGTGTTCACGCTTCTCACTCAGGTGTGCAAGGTGGATGGTGAACTTGAGCAGAATGGCCGGACGGTTTTGCATATAGCTGCCCAGAAGCAGTATGCGGAAGCCTTGAATTTTGTCTTAGACCGCAAGATCCGAAAGGAGCGGGACAGGCCCGAGGTTGACGCAGAGATCAAAGCCATTCGTACCGTGGGCGATGATGTGAAGTTGCTGATGTCCAACGTGACAGCCTTGCATGACGCCTGCCACGCAAACTGTGGACGTTGCACCAGGCTGCTTCTGCAGCATGGAGCCAATGCACAGGCCACGCTTTTCGTGAAGCTGTTCCCAACCAGTTGGTACAATACGCTTCAGCGTTGGATGTACAAGGCATTTGCGAGGTTCACACGTGAAAAGAATAAAACAGTCGAATTTCCTGTTTTGGAAGGCTTGCAGCCCATACACTTGGCAGCAAAGCGTGGATGCCACACATGCATAGAGCATCTCAACAAGCTGCAAGTGAACATCAATGCGCGTAGCATGCTCGGGCTTGAGTACAACGAATACACGATACATGCATCGGGGGAATTCAGCCAGCAATCTTCTTCGGGCAAGGGTGCATGCCTCATGCGACCTTTGGACTTGGCCTTGGCATATGGACATGACCTTTCTGCGCAGTATCTGATACGTGCTGGCGCGGATACCACCCGCATTACGGTGGACTCTGGATCAAAGCTGGTGAACACCGAGCGGTTGAAGCGGTTGGGGATCATCAACATGACGACCAATACTACTCCTCAGCTCATCAAGTGCAGGCTGTGGACGGTGAGCAACACAACCAACAGAAAAGAAGTTTCCCCAGGCGCTCTCATGAGGGCTCTCTAAGGCCTGACCAGGCTTGCTCGGCACAAAAAGGTTCACGAGCTGGCGCAAGGCGTATGATGAGAAGACAGCAGATATCTTTCTGAAGGTGCTACACAGGTATTCAGCACTTGCTGTGGGGAAGTTCATGCTATGACGCTTTTGTCGCTTCCCCTTACCAGCAGCCTAGGCACAAAGAATCTCACCACCTGCCTAGGAACATCCAATGCTGCCATCGTGAGCCAGGCCTGGTTGCATATATTGTCCTGCTAACAGAGCCTTGAGTAGACTATAGGGGCCTCCAACGTAGTTTTTAATCTTTGAGGTAGTATAATCCCAATATCAACCAACAGTTATAAGTTTAAGTGGATTCTGAGGCCGGTTTAGTAGATGTAAGTAGGTTAACAATACGGATGATGGGGTCATAATTGTTATAGTGGGGTCACTATATGACTACATGGGCCTTCTAATCAAGCCCAAGATTCATATGAGTAGTATTCTATTTGGGGATACTGTGTTATTCAATCTAGAGAGAGATTGTTAACCTTACTTGGCTAAACCACCAAGAAAAAGCTACTCGTATTCACCCTTCTCTTCTGATCTGGGGCTTTGTCAGACTTCTGGTCGCTTTTTGGTCACCCTAGATATTAGGGGCTGTGTTACTCTAGGGATCCAAAACGGGATCATTGTTTCGAGAACCTGCCATGTGATCCACATACTATCCTCACATGCCTCTGGGGCCGAGACCTGGGACCGATGAGAGCTGTGCTACCTGAGGCAGCTTTCGAAAACTAGGGGTACCTTGTCAGGGGTCCCCATCATAAGGACTATAGTATTTTGGGGGCTAGATTATGTGTCTTCTTCAACGCTGAGGCCCATCCGCTGATACGTCATCAGCTCTGATTAGGATTCCTGTTGCGGGGACGCGTGTGACTGCATGGAAGTCTTCACCTAGTCATTGAGACACGCCGCTATAGCCTAGTAGCATGTATCGTAGAAGCCTAGATGGTTCCCCACATCTTATAATATTACTATGCATATAGCGTTTTATATGCCAAGTTACCCAACTCATTGCCATGGGCCTGGAATCCTTGTATGATTCTGATACAGTGTATATCCAGTAGACCTTGACATGATATAGGTAGTTCTTACAGGCCCCTACATTCCATCATATGAAATGCCATAAACCCTGACGTAAACCCCGTACAGCTGAGGTTGCGAGTGATCACCAGACGGAAGCTTGGGGTTCAGGGTTTATGGCTTAGGGTTCAGGGCTCAGGGTTTAGGGTCTGATGTGCACATATCTCTGCAGCACACGACAGCTGGATATTTTCATGTTAGCAAATTGGTCCTGAACTTGCCGAAATACCCTAAACCCCCAAACCCTAAACCGCGTTAGTACCCAACAGGTTCGATGTTGCATCGGGCCCTTGGACCCGTAGCGGGGAGAGCTTCGCGAGAAGAGCAAAGCAGCGCTGATTTCTTCTAGGGTTCGGGGTTTAGTGAATTTTTGAATGTCTGAAGATCAGTTCTCGTCACTTAAACATTCTTAACGAATCTAAGGCCCTGAATAACTACCAATATCATAGTCCTAAGTTCCCTGTATCACTATAGAGACATTAAACGTTACTGGGAACTATTTAGGCCCCTGTATTGGATAGCCTGGGCCAAATCTTGAGCACAGCGGTAGAGATCCTCAGGACTATTACCAGTATTGCTGCTGCTACTACTTCTGCGAATGATTAATAGCATTTGTACTATTTGTCATACCGGTACTGCTACGGCTTCGCCCACCTGTGCGATCATGATGTTCTTTTGCATGCGGGCTTTTGGATTGGAGAAGCAGCGCTAGATAGCCATGCATGAACCCAAAACCCAAAACCCTAAACCTTGAACCCTAAACCCTGAGCCCAAAACCTTGAACCCTAAACCTTAAACCCTAAGCCCTAAACCTTAAACCCTAAACCTTAAACCCTAAGCCCTAAACCCTAAACATTAAACCGTAAATCTTAAGCCCAAAACCCTAAAACCCTATCGCCAATCTTCCAGTCTTACCTGGTAAGTTGAAGCAGGGCTGAGCTGTGGCAACTCTTACTTGAGTAGTATTTTATTTGGGGATACTATGGTACCCAATATAGAGTAAGATTATATCCTCCTTTTGGGGTATAGTATTCTAGACAAGGAATATTATCTTACTAGGTTCAACCACCAAAAAAACACTACTCACTTTACCTTTTTTGGGGTATTGGGGTTCAGGGTATCAGGGTTCGCAGTATTCGGGTCTAGGGTATTAAGGTTTAGGGTATTAGTAGGGTTTATAAGGTATTTGGGTTTAGGGTATTAGGCCTCAGGGGTTTGGGGTTGAGGGTATTGGGGCTAAGGGTGTTAGGGCTTAGGGTATAGTGTTGCATTTTTGGGCTCTAAGAGTTGTTGCTGCTGCTACGCTTCTTTCGCCGACGTCGGAGGGCGCACCCTAAACCCTAAACCCTAAACCGTGAACCCTAAACCCAAAGCCCAAAACCTTAAACCCTAAACCCTAAACCTTAAACCCTAAACCCTAAGCCCAAAACCTTAAACCCTAAACCTTCAACCCTAAACCCAAAACCCCTATTGCCCTGACATCTGCTCATTGGCTTCGCAGACGGTTTTCCATTCCAAGGTCGCGACAAAGCTCGCAACGAACAAGGTCCTTCCATCTATTCTACCTAAACCCCAAAATTATATGAAGTCATGGCCTTGAAGGCTATTATTACGTTTAGGGCTATTATTTTACACATTTTTGGGGTTTAGGTAAACCCAAAACGAGCCTATTACTACACGCAGGCCTTGAATCTGGGTCAAGCTCTGATTCTGTCAGATCAGGGGCATATGTAGATGACGAACTGTCCACAGAACCCCCACACGAACTAGTTCCTTCCCTTCACCCCGAGCCCTTTGGCATTCCCGGCAAGCAGCCACGAAAAGGGGCCATGGCGTATCTGACCAAATGGTTTGGTGCAGAGGAGGAAGCTGAGTTGTTAAGGTTTAGGGTTTAGGGTTTAGGGTTCAGGGTTTTGCATTTTAGGGTTTAGGATGAAAGGGTTTCAATTTGTAGATGGGTGTCCTGTGAACAGTATGGTCCGTTGATGGGTACCCTGCATACTCGTTGGAGCATTATCATCAGGCCCTAACAAGGGACCATAAATTTTGACAACCCACCATGGATACCTGAGCCGACTACACATAAAACTTGATCATGTTTCATAATACCTCAACAGGCATCAGTTCCACCATGCTACCTCCAAGGTGCCCCCCAAAATTAGGCGCATCTAGGGATTACAAGGTGAATTAAGGCGAAACCTAAGCCCAAAACCCTAAACCTTAAAGCGAACACCCTGAACCTCAAACCCGAAACCCTGCTTTTGTCAAGGAGGAAGAGTACCCCAGGGAGGGTGCCCCCTCTGACTTCACGGACGCTTACACGGACAAGGAGGATGACGAGTGCGACCTCCAGGACTGTTCGCAGGGTTTAGGGTGTAGGGTTTAGGATTTGAGGGTTGTGGGTTTGGGTTTATGGAGTTTAGTAGGTAGGGTTTAGGGTTTCGGGATTATGGAAAATCAAATGGAACATGGAGAATGCCCGGAAGCTTGCCATATGTAGGGAAGCCCAGCTCGCTATTCCCATGGTACTAGATTCCTCTTGTATGAGCATCGTACAGCTTACTTGCAAGAGAGCTCGAGATGACATTAGCAACTTTTAAAGCTTAACCTTTAACCCCTACACACTAAACCCCTAACCCCTAATCCGTAAATACATCACAGGCCTCGGAGTTGGGAGTTTGGGGCTCGGGGGGTCAGGTCCTGGGCTTGGGTTGGGGCATTGTTGCTTGAGGACTATGTCGCCAGCAACCCTGTCCCCTTCCAGCTTCTGTCCTGTTGCCTGATTTTGGGTGGCGTGGTCCTGATGAACTATGGTTTCAGCGCGCAAACTCTCCGTACGTCCCTCATGGTGGACCGCTCGGAAGAGGGATTCTGCTGCTGGCGGCAGAACCCCGCACCATTCTACGCAGGCGATCCTTGCGCATGTCCCACAGAACATCGAGGTGATTACTCGTGCCCGCCGGATGGCTGCACAGATGGTAACGAAATCTGGCAGAGGGGCCCCGGAACGGAGAGCAACACAAAGGCCTTTTGCCATCAGTTTGTGGAGGTCGCTTCCTGGTGCCCCAGTGCTCGCAGCTTCAGTTCACCCCTGTCGCCTGCCGCAGCGCCGGCTGGGACACCCGCCCCAACGCCTGCGCCTGGGTTCTGCTGCTATCGCGACCATCCGGCTCCGGGCTACTATGGAGAGCCGTGTGGATGTCCAACCGAGCACCGCGGAGATTACACCTGCCCCGAAGAGGGCTGTACCGACTCCACAGGGGCTCGTTGGCGCCGCGGCGAGACTGCACCTTTCGCCAATACCCAAGCGTACTGTAGCAGTATGGACAGCACCGCAGCATGGTGTCCGAGTCGGTAGCGGTATCGCTCAGACCAGAAACCTCTCAAATCACAGCTTCCAGCAACTGGGTTGCTGTTAAGAAACTTGAATTAAGTTACCATAATGGGTATGTAAGGTAAATAATAGGGTTTCCCCAATATAGTAACTTAATTTAAGTTCCTTAACAGCAACCCAGGCAAAACATGCTTGATTCAGCTGAGTGGACTTCCCGGAGGTGGCTCAGCAGTGAGAGAGGCTAGTTGATTAGACTGAGTCAGCCCTTGCCCAAATGACCTATAGTCTAAACTCCTTAAAGGGGATTATATAGGGGATTATATAGGGGGGTATTATAGGTATTAAGGAGGATACTAGGAGTTTAGACTATGGCTCAAATGTTAACAATCAAAATAACAGCAAGAATAGCAATAATACTAGTCAAACTGGCAACACTAGAAATAACAATAGCGTAATGACAGTAATTACGAATAGTTATTAATATTCATAACAAGGACAATGATCGTAATAGTAATTCTACCAGTAATAATGACAATAATGTTCGCAATCATACTGATCATAATAAGATGCTGCTCAGTGCTGCTCGGAGGCTTGCAAAGCAGAGGGCATGCCCTTTACTCGCAGCCGTATCTTGGCTCAGCTTCCCCCCCCCATCTACGCAGCGAAAGCCTGCAGCTGAATTGTTGCGCTTAAGGGTTCAGGGTTTAGGGTACCTCGGTCGTACCCTTTTCCTTTCTTGTTTTTTTTTTCCTGTTAGGGTCTCTTTATTCAACCTGAATATTAGGAAAAAGGGTGCCTGGGTTTTGAAGGGGTTGCGGGGGAACCTAGATTGTCCCCCATAATTAGATAGAATATAGAGTTTAGGAGTGAGGGCTTGGGGTTTAGGGTCTAGGGGGTAAGGATATAGTCCCCCTTAAGTAGATCGAATATGAGGGTAAAGGGGATGTCACTATGACATTGGGAAAGTCCATCTTCCATCCACTTATGGGGGACTATGACACTCTGATGTCTCAATTTAAGAGTGCCTTGATGTGCAAGACCTGTGGTCCTTTCGCTGAGTTGGCTCCTTGGTCTGAAAGTACTTGGGGGACCCTAAACCCTAAACCCGGTAAACCCTAAACCCTAACCCTAAACCCTAAACCCTTAAACCCTTAAACCCTAAACCCTAAACCCAAACCCTAAACCTGAACCATGAAACGCCACAGCTTGAGAGCCCCGATGCTGGTAGTACTTGAAGGTTCATGAGACATAGGGGTTTCCCTAAATTAGGGGTACTTTTTTGGGGGTGCCCATAACAAGGATTCTAGTATTTTGGGGTCTGTATTAGGGTCCCCCTATTTTGGGAAACTACCACATAGTAACTGCTTGTAACTGGGCTTAATAGCCTTACCTCTAACCCCCCTACGGGAGTTATATAGGTTACCCCAATTATAAGTAGGGTTACAATCCCAGCTTTAAGTACCTAAACCCAAGAAGTATGTAAAACAAATGGCCTTTGGGGCTATTGTTCTGGGTTTAGGGTTATTTTTTTACATATTTTGGGCGTTTAGGTAGTTACTAAATCACATGAACCTTCATATTTGCGGGGTAGCCAAGTGGAACTCTTCCTCCAACCCTTAACAAACGTGGCTTAGGGTTTAGGGTTTTTACCCGACCCCCAGATCCTTGTCGAGAATAGACTGGTAGCTTTCCTGCACTAGAACGGGGCTATGGGCTGGAGAGACCACGCTAGGAATTTGCCATAACCAGGACGGACTAGGGTGTTCAGAATTGTTTTGAGTTTTGGGTTTCAAGGTTTTGGGGTTCAGGGTTTGGGGTTCTAAGGTTTCCGGCTCTAGGGTTTTGAGTTTCAGGATTTTAGGTCTGAGGTTTTGGGTTTTAGGGCTTCTGATTTTTTAGGATTGTGAGGTTTTAGGCTTCAGGGTTTTCGACGTTAGTTGGGGCGTTAGGGTTTTAGTTTTCAGGGTAATTGGTGGCAGTGGTATGGTTTTTGGGTTAGTTTAGGGTTCTAGGGCTTCAAGTGTTACAGTTTCTGTTTTTCGAGAACCCCAGGATTCAGGGTCCCTATCCTAAACCTTAAGCCCAAAACCCTCAACCCTAAACCCCTAGCAGCCTAAATCCTAAACCCTCAACCCTAAAGCCTAAACCCAACCTACTTACTAAGTCCGCTTGGGCTATACCTTAGGGGCCCGTAGTTACCCCTAGACTCTGTTTAGGGCTTAGGCCCGTGGACTCTGAGGTTGATGGGATGTGCGGGCTGCAGCCGGGCCGCGGAGCCCAGCAAGGATCAGGATTTAGGGTTTAGCATTTAGGGTTTAGGGTTTAGGGTGGGGGTTGGTTGGGTCTTGAGGGTTTCATGTTTTGGGATTTGGTGGGGTTTAGGGGTTTCGGGTTTGAGGGTCAGGGTTGTTGTTGGATAGTAGGGGGGGGGGGTTTAACGCCTATTTCATGGACAACCGGATGGCAAGAACATGGACAACTAAATTGAGACTGATTAGGTTCCAACAGGGTTTAGGGGTTTTGGGAGCTTATTAGGGTTTGGGTTTAGCTTTTCAAGTACGTTACGTAACCCTCAACCCTAAAATCCTAAACCCTAAACCCTAAAATTCTAAACACTAAAATCCTAAATCCTAAACCCTAAAATCCTAAACCCTAAACCCTGCCAAGAAGTGCCTGCTTTGCATCTTGCCGTGGCGATGCAGGGCCAGGTTGCTGGTGCAGAAACAGGGGTTTGAGGGTTGAAGGTTCAGGGGTTTAGTTTAGGGTTTAGGGGGTTTTAGGTTTTAGGGTTCAGGGTTCAGGGTTTAGGGTTTTAGGGTGTGGGGGGTTGAGGTTTTAGGGTTCAGGGCTCAGCAATTTAGAGTTTAGGGGCTTAGAGTTTTTGATCTGGGTTTGGGTTGAAGGTTTAGGTTGAGGGCTTAAGGCATGGGAATTTCTCAAAAATGGGGGGCCCTTAGGGACCTTAGGGATAGATTGGGGCTGATAAGGGGACCATGTGGGTCCCGATTAGGGATTGTTTCCGGAGTATCTGTGAGAAACTCCATATGAGTAGTATTTTACTTGGGGATACTATGGTACCCTAAGATTTTATCCTCCTTTTCGTGTATAGTATCTTATATAAGGAATATAATCTTACTGGGTTTAACCACCAAAAAAACATATCGGATAAGGGAGTCTCAAGATGTGGGTACCTTCAGGACGACCCAGGGAAAGACTTGAGATGGCTGTACAACAGTGATTATGATAATGGAGGGTCTCTATGTAGTGTTCTATGGGACCCTCGTCAGCCCTAATAAAGTGTATAAGACCCCAATGTTCCCACCCTAAAGCCCTAAACCCCAATCCCTACATCCTAGAAAACCTTACATAATTCTATACTATACATCCGCCCTACAACCTAAACCCCAAAACCTCAATCCTTCGCCAGGAGCCTGATGCCAGGCATTGGAGAAATTGGAGAGGTGAGGAGGGCGGATTTGGCATCGCAAAAAGACGAAGCCCGGTGTAGGGTTAAGGGTGTATAGGGTTTAGAGTCTAAAGTTTAGAGTGTAGGGTTTAGGGTTCAGGGTTTCGGGTTTAGGCTTCCTGGTGTAGGATATGGGGTTCAGGGTTTAGGCTGCAGGGTGTAGGGTTTAGCGCATAGGGTTCAGGGCTTGGGCGCCACCACAGAGTGGGGACAGGGGCTGGGTTTGGGCTAGGGCTACACCCAGCCATGGTTGATAATAGGGTTTTATCGCAGCCCGGCTTATACCATCGCCCATATAACGCCCCACCCCCGCCCACTCGTCCAATAACGAATATGAATACGCCCAGCATGGCACCACTATGGGGTGGGGAGTAAGTTCCATTATCCCTTGTGGTCACACCCTGGTAGGTGGGGACCTAACCGAACCCTGAGTCTGGGGTGTTGACGCCTTGCAGGATTAACTTTTTCTAATCGGCGGGCAAGTTTTATGGGAATCAAGTGTGATCCCGCAGGGCACCCTCAGACCAATTTTGTGCACAAGTTTGGTGTTTAGGCTTTAGGGTTAACGTGTGTGGTGGAAGTTCGGCTGGGCCTTGTACTGCACCATGTGGGATCTTTCGTGATGCGCATGCCCCGTATGAAGTCCCCAAACGAAATGTTATTTCAAAAGTGAGGGGTTGATTTTTGCAACTGCATGCTCAAGAGGTTTCTGCCACTCGGCTGTGCTTAAGACTATAGCCAAATTGCAACTCCTCTTGTGACCTGGCTGTATGCTGATTACAACAAACGGGAGAAGTCAGCTCCAAATCATCAGTGCACCTTGGGTACTGCCCCCCCTCAGTAACAGTTTGGATAATAATTACAACATGGTTATATATAGCCCTTAATAGGACCCCTAATATAGACTGTTACTACCCACAGCGCACCCATTTCTGCCGTGAGTTGGCTCAGACCCATGTGGACAATCTTGGTCCCCCAGAGAAGCTAGGGTCCTCAAGGTAGTTAGGTGTGCCGGTGCTGCAGCGGAAGGCCCGGAACCTTGGTCCAAGGAAATGGGAGTCTCTCAAACTGTGTTGAGGGATTTGGGGTTACGGGTTTAGGGTTTTTGGGGTTTAGGGTTTGGGGGGTGGGGTTTGGGTTCAGCCCCCTAAGGATATATAATGTAGGGATCAAAAAAGAACCTTTGTGACCCTGCTAGTGATTATATAGGGCGCATTTTGATCAACTCCCAACCTTCAAGTGGATAGTTTAGCTTATGCAAGCGTTGAAGAGGCCTTACTTAATTTATATACCTCCTAGCTTCACCACAGGTTGGGATTTTATGACCATAATAGGGATATAAAACCAAGAAATCAAAGAGCACTTACCTTTCGAGGGCTCCTTTTAGGGTGCTCTTTGATTCTCTTTACCCTAGGTCAAAATCCTAACCTGTTTCACCATATAAGGCTTATACAAGCCTTGAGTACGGGTACACACCTTGTAACTCCCCCCAAACCCTCAACCCTAATCCCTGAATCCGATACATCCCTACATAGCTCTGTATTGCCCCTTTAAAAGC